CATTCCATTCTATTCTATTCTATTCTATTCTATTCTATTCTATTCTATTCTTATTCTATTCTGTTCTTATTCTATTCTATTCTTATTCTATTCTTATTCTATTCTATTCTATTATTCTATTCTATTCTATTCTATTCTTATTCTATTCTATTATTCTATTCTATTCTTATTCTATTCTGTTCTTATTCTATTCTATTCTTATTCTATTCTTATTCTATTCTATTATTCTATTCTTATTCTATTCTATTCTTATTCTATTCTTTTTCTATTCTTATTCTATTCTATTCTGTTCTGTTCTGTTCTGTTCTATTCTGTTCTTATTCTATTCTGTTCTTATTCTATTCTTATTCTATTCTATTCTTATTCTATCCTGTTCTTATTCTATTCTATTCTATCTGCATCTCTGCCCCTTGATACAGATAGAGGTCAGCACCACGGACAGCAGCATCCTTGGCCAAAGTCCCACAATGAGTTTAAAGCTCCCCATTGAAAACCCTTGTCAACAAAACGTAGAATCTGCAATATTTCCAAAGCCCTGAGGACACCCAACTGCCAAGGTCAACTGTCCCATTGCATGCACAGCAGAAGAAACTCCTGGGACATTTTTACTACCAAGAGTAAAACTTCACGGACAGATCCATAAAGCTACAACGGCTGGAAAAAAAAATGACTGTTCCTCCATAGTGGCGACCTTTCAAGCATCCCCATGACCACGGGATCCAAATTCAGACGTTTGGCCACTGGTTCGTACTTATGACCGTGGCTGTGTGTCCCGAGGCCATGGGATTTTGAGGCCTTATGACAAGCAAAGTCAACAGTTAACAAACCAGTGTGATTCACTTAACAACAGTGGCAAGAAAGGTCGTAAAATGGAGCAAAACTCATTTAACAAATGTCTCGCTTAACAATGGAAATGTTGGGCAATATCGGGGTCGTTAGTTGAGGACTACCTGTCTAGTGAAACTCCCTTTTCCTTCCCTGGCCCCCCCGGGCTGCCCAGTGTGTCCACTGTCCACCAATCCAGGTTAAGCGTTTAATTTTGGGAAAGAGTCTGCACCTTTTGAAAGTTCTCAGCTTCTGACCTTGGGCCTGTGAGATTTTCTCAGGCTACAAACGGCTCATGTCGATTTCTTCTCCCAGCTTCCCATACACTCCAGTCACACCCCTCCTCCCTCCGTTAGCTTCTTTGTCAAGCTGCCCGCTAAGGAAGATGACAACGGATCAGGAGCATCTCTTAAATTGCAGCACAGATTTATTCAATGCTCTTATCTACCAGTAGTCCTTGACTTGCAACCATTCATTTAGGGAACATTCAGAGTTACGCTGGCACTGGAAAATGTGACTTAGGACCATTTTTCATGCAACGGGTTGCAGCATCCCCCATGGTCACGTGATCAAGAGTCCAACACTTGGCAAATGGCTCATATTTATGACGGTTTTAGTGTCCCCTTTTGCAACCTTCCAACAAGCAAAATCAATGGGTGAAGCCAGATTCACTACACCAACCCTGTTGCTATGTTAACAACTCCAATGATTCGCTTATCAGCTGTGGCAAGAAAGGTCGTAAAATGGGGCAAAACTCAACAAAGGTCTTGCTTAGCAACAGGGAATTTTGGGCTCAGCTGTGGTCCTAAATCACATAAGAATCCAGCCATCTAAAGTTCAACACTAAACTGGCTCCAGATAAGGGCCAATAGGATTTGGAGTGAGTGTGGATTTGGACTGCTTTTGGGAATGTATTGACTCAAAGCCGATGACGTGCTTAACTCTGCCTTCCAGCTTTGCCGGCTTTTCTCCCATAGAAGACACCTTGGGCTTTAGGAAGCCAATTCCAGGATGTTACGCTCTCCTCTGGAGATGCCAATCCCCACATTATTTTGACCATCAGCTCTGTAGGGTTGAAGAGGCATCGGTGAGCCCCAAAAGACCAACTCCACCTCTGAAGGTCCAATTAAATGGATGTATTGTTACTCACGAACACTTAGCCTCTGAGAGGAGATAGATAAGGGAATTCAAGGACTTGCAGCTACGTAGAGATTCTAGGCTGATGCCTCTTTTAGCTCCGCCCTAGATTCTGCCCCTTCTCCTCCTGCAGCCTCTGTGTTATTGGCCCTTCGTGATAAAGCAAATGACTTTCATATATGCTTCAAAAAAAAACCCCTCTTTTTTCTTGTTCGCCTTGGTTAGAAAGAAGAGTCTTTCCTGGGAATCCTCCTGACCGGAGGCACTGGAGCGTATATTGTCGCTAGCAATTCACTCTGTAGGCCGGAGGAAGGTAAGCAATCAAAAAATTTCTACAGTACCACAATTCAAAGGCAACATTTTTTTCCTTTGGATTGGACCTTTCTGAGATCCACTTTTCCAAGCCAGATGTTGCAGCTGGAAACTACAGTACACACCTTTGTTGTCATGTGGAGTCTCTTCCATGATTAATATTCTGCCTGGGTTTGTCGTCATCTCCCTAGTAACACCAGTTATTTTATTTTTATTTATTCATCTTCATTGCATCAGCCTTATATTGCCTCAGCTTCACTGCTGGTCAGCTCTTAAATCCCAGTACTTTAACGTTAAATTTGTATCCTGCCCATTGAGAAACTCTGGATGAACAATAAATAAAATATAAGATAAATCAAGAAGAGTTTGGGCAGGCATTTGTCTGGAATGGTATATGGCAGTGGTGGCTAACCTTTTTGGGCTCCTCTGCCGAAAATGGTGCGCACGCTTGTGTGTGCAACGTTCACATGCCAGCACCCAGAAGGCAATGCGCGCAGCTTCCCAATGCCTCCTGCGTATGCGCATATGATCCCCTCCTGCCCCCGCTGTCCCCTTAACCTGCACTGCGCATGCACGCGCCTCCCAGCTGATTTTCAGGCCTTTTTCGGCCTCCCAGAGGCTTGAGGGAAGCCTCTGCAGCCTTTGGAGGCCGAAAAATGGGCCTGTTTCGTCACTTCTGGTATTTCTGGAAATACAGGAAGTGACAAAACGGGCCTGTTTTTCGGCCTCCAAAGGCTGCAGAGGCTTCCCTCGGGCCTCTGGGAGACCGAAAAAGGGCCTAAAATCAGCTGGGAGGCGCACGCATGCGCAGTGAGGTAAGTTGGCCTGGGGCTCATGTGCCTGCAGCAAATGGCACCAACCTTCTTCTATGTTCTAAAGTTTCTTTCTTTCACAGCTACAGCCAATGTTTGAATTTAAGAAGATGGACAATACTACATGGACAATTATGCCTGGAACTACTTCATTATACAGAGTTTTAATTGCAGATTGTAATTACAGTCTTTGAAGTGTCTTTCGCATAGTTTTAATATCTGTGGTCTTAATATTGGCTTGACGCTGGAGGTTTCCTGCCAGGAGGCCTTGGTAATTGGGGGTATAAATCCCTTTAAACCAAAGATCTCATAACTTGGTTTATTTTTCTCTTTGCAGGAAAGCTTGATTTCTTTTCTGAGGGCCTTTTGTTCTGTCATCCCCATTATGGCAGCATAACCATCTCCAAGGCACACATGGTGTCCATCCAGTTCTATGACGGGGTAAGTGCATGTCAGCCTTCCCGTAAGAAATATGAAAGGAGAGATAGCGCAGTCTAATGGTTAGAGCACCGGGCTAGAAACCAGGAGCCTGGGAGTTCTAGTCCTGCCTTAGGCAAGAAAGCCAGCTGGATGATTTTCGGCCTCTCTCTCTCTCTCTCTCCCTTTCTCTTTCTCTCCCTCCTTTTTTCTCTCTCTCTCCCTTTCTCTGTCTCTCTCTCTCTCTCCCTCCCTTTCTCTTTCTCTCCCTCCTTTCTTTTTCTCTCTCTCTCTCCCTTTCTCTCTCTCCCCTTTCTTTCTCTCTCCCTTTTTCTTTCTTTCTTTCTCTTTCCCTTTCTCTGCCTCTCTCTCTCTCCCTCCCTTTCTCTCTCTCTCTCTCTCTCTCTCTCTCCCTTTCTCTTTCTCTCCCTCCTTTCTTTTTTTCTCTCTCTCCCTTTCTCTCTCTCTCCTTTCTTTCTCTCTCCCTTTTTCTTTCTTTCTTTCTCTTTCCCTTTCTCTGTCTCTCTCTCTCCCCCCCCTTTCTCTCTCTCTCTCTCCCTCTCTCTTTCTCTCTCTCTCTTTCTCTCTCTCTTTCTCTCTCTCTCTCCCTTTCTCTTTCTCTTTCTCTCCCTCCTTTCTTTTTTTTCTCTCTCTCCCTTTCTCTCTCCCTTTTTCTTTCTTTCTTTCTCTTTCTCTTTCTCTCTCTCTCTCACACACACACACTCACTCTCTCTCTCTCTCTCAGCCCAACCCACCTCACAGGGTTGTTGTTATGGGGAATATAGGAGAGGGAAGATGTATTGGGGAGTTCACCACCCTGAGTTCCTTATAAAGTAATAAAGGTAGAATTAAAAAAAGAGAATCTAATACAACCTAAATATTCCATAAAAGCAGGAGGGCCCCCTCTCATCTTCTTCTCAGCCTGTTTTGGGATTCTTCAGGGCATTGTTGAGTCCCTACAGCTGTGCATCCTTGTTATATCATTGCATTACATCTGCTTTTCTCCTCATCATCTCCAGCAGTGCATACCAGCACTTGAAATAGGGCCTTACAAATGATCACCTCAAATCAGTGGATTCCCCCAGAAAATTAGGAACAAGATCCACAGCCCTCCCCCCACCCTGATCCCGTCCAATCTTCTGGAGTGGGAACTGAAGCCGCCTCCTCCGTTCTAGAGCTCCACCCAGAACTTTGGATCAAAGCTTTAGCCAGGATGAAAGTCACTGTAGGACGGGGATTTAACCACGGTTAAGGCACGAGAAGCAGACTGGATATAGAAGGAAGAAACTGGGGATTCATGAGGCATTTCAGCTAGAATTGAACTGGTTCTAAAAGTTGGAAACTTTAAGATGTGTGGACTTCAATTCCCATAATCCCCCAGCCAGCATATCTATGTGGGGTGTGTGTGTGTGTGTGTGTGAGAGAGAGAGAGAGAGAGAGGTTTATGTGTGTGTGTGTGTGTGTGTGTGTGTGTGTGTGTGTAAGAGAGAGGTGTGTGTATGAGACAGATGTTTGTATGTGTATGCGAGAAATGGAGATGTTTGTGTGTGAGAGGTATGAGTGTGATAGAGATCATATGTGTGAGATGATTGTGTGTGTGAGAGAGAGACAGATGTTTGTGTGAGGTGTGTGTGTGAGAGAGAATTTGTATGTGAGAGAGACGTGTGAGTTTGTGT